CAGCTATCCCAAAGGGGTCCTGAAGGAACATATACCAGTCTCCTTTAAAAACAATCACAAATAACTTTGAACTTTCAACTGCACTAGGGAGAAAACAATTAGTACAGTTTCTAAAGGTGCAGAGGCATAATACTTTATGTTTAAGGGGCCATCAATACTCGCAAGTGCGACAATGGTTTGCACTCTGGATTTGGAGCAATCAATGGTCAGAATCAAAGAAGAAAAACATTGCATCAGACAGTCTCTCTCTTTTTTAATGAGGAATCAGTTGAAATGCATCTGGGCTGTCCATGCAGAGATAATTTTGTAGCATAAAACACAAGGCCTCACCTTCTTGGGTATCCTGCCTGACTGAAAATTAATGAGGTTGAGATGAGATTTAATTGTACACTGTATTTCTTCTTGTCTTGGGAAAAATAGCCCTTAAGACATAGGATAATAATTAAACACACATTTCAGGATGGAATGGGAATTAGCAGAGAAATCCCTCCCATTATCCCAAAATATACTGTACATTTGTACATTGCATAGCATGTATTTGGCTTACCCATTATCCTATTTGGCTTAGCCATTATTCCTGTTAGCTGAAACATGGGTTCCCTAGGCATGGGAATGAATCCATGATGTAACTTAGGACAGGGGCTGAGCTAAAATGGGACTCCTGTGTCCATGTGCAGTATTAGGGGACCCAGATAGGGCTGAACAGAGACATTAATGCCCACAGACGCCCCTGGGAATCTGCTTCTGCCTTGCTCTCTAGACCCTGCTGCTCAGTTCAGCACAAGCACCAGGGAACACTCAGTTCCTGGAAACACAGACATCCACATTCAGGTGTTGCAATCTGGTATTGGATCACTCTCTAAGCACAGCACAGGGTTCAGCTGCCCAAACACATCTGTTGCAGTTGGAGATGTCACTCAAGGCAGCAGGTTTTATACAGGACAGTGGTCAAAACCATATGTCTCCATCTGCAGTAACATCTGGAGGCCAGGTGGGACACTGTGGGACACATCTGGTGCCTATGTCTAGGTGGTGAATCTCATCTTGGGTATCTTAATTCATGAAGAGGTTTTAAAAAATCTGTGTCACAGCTGATGCAAAAAAGAGCACGTCAACAAATGTTAATTGTCTCAAAGCAACTTTTAAGGCAGCTGAGCATGCTTGTGACAAAGAAGATTTGGATAGGATAAGCCTTTTCAGGATCCCTAACCATTACAACCAATGAGCAGCTCTTAGTATGAGGTGCACATTGAGTAAAACAGTCCACAGAAGCAGGTTCTGATCACTCAACAACAGTAAGAGAAGGCTCTTCATTTTCACCTAATTCTATGAACTAGCAACAACTGCACTTGACATTTTGCTTTTTCTTCTGATAACATGCCATGGGAAGCTGCTTTTGTAGTAGCAAGTGTTGTATCTCCTATGTGTACATATACAGTACATAATGTTTATGGGTTTAAGCAATAAAATATATTTTAACTGTAGTCTKATAAGTAAAAGAAGTCTCATAACTACATGCAGAAAAATAAAGAGAGGTAAATATGCATATACAAGAAATAAAATATTGCTCTTAGAACAATAAAAGTGTGWCTTTTAATGACTGTGAGTCATTAAAATATACATGGGGATAAAGGTAATTGCTACTGTACTTCCTGTAAAAAAAAAGATTGTTTAAGATGCAATTGCTTGAAAAACAGAATACAGATGAAATTTCATGTAAATCCTCATGGCCTTTGATGAGAAATTCATAGTTGAGAGAATTATGTGGAAATTCTCTTCTTCCCCATCATTCTGAACTTCAGAGTCAATTAAGAGGCTGAGCATATTCACAAGTAGCTTTGCAGAGATGAATGTTTAAATCTCAAGAAATTTCTTGCAATGCAATGAAAATCTGCATCATATTGTCATATATAAGTTTATATGTTTTGTTTGTTCCACAAGCTTTGATTTAAAGTGGTAATTTTCAGTTTACAACTGAAGTGGAAGATGAGAAACAGCTGTATTCACTGGTTAAAATCTAAATGTTTTTACTGTTGGCATCAGCTGCAGCAGCTAAATGGTTTTGATAGAGAAAGTCCTGAGGTTCTGCAAAGCAACCGTGGTCTCTTCTCTCTGGACATGGGATGACTCAGTTTCTCCATGGTGATTCATCTGGGTAATTCAGCTCTGAGTTGTCAAGTCCAGAAGAGGTTTTTACTCAACTGTATTCAGAAAGAGATGGGAAGGGATGACTGGGGAATGACCTTTTCCTCCAGATATATCTGCTACACGTTCCCTTACACATAGCCTTCTGCTGAGTTTGCCCACCATCTGATCTGCTATTTAGGCAAAAATTTCAGGTTTTCAATTTTCTGTTTCCTGGATGGTGAACACTGTGCTCTTTTCCTTTCTCTGTTCAGTGGGCTGAAGTGAGAGTCCTCATTTAGTGTCTTTGAAGAATAGTAATAAAAATATCATTCTATACTTAAGGTCAGCTGACCTCTCAAGTGTTGCAAGCTCAGTAAGCAGGGAAACAAGATAAATAGACCATTTTCATAACTTTCACCTTACCAGGATCCCCAGAGCACATAAGCACCAGCTGCAGCAAAGAACTTGCGAAGAGAAAACAGAAGTGGCAGTGTTCCTCAGAATGAACTGTGGGTACTTGAGGTGGCCAGGAAACAGAAAATCATTGCTAAGTGAAATTGCAAGAAACAAAGTAAATCTTAGACCTCCTCTCAGACTGYCCGTGCCATGGCCTTGTTAGGTCAGTGATCACCACAGAGACAAATAATCCTGGAGGGAACTGAAAAAGATGGGACAACCTCTATCAGGGGTAGTTCTGCTTGCAAGCCTTCTGAACGGCCCACATCAACAGTTTTGTGAACCTTGGGACAGGGATAAAGCCTCTAGAGCTGCAGAACAAACTTGAAAGCAGGACTGAACATAAACCAAGAAGAGATGGCTGCCTGAGTTCACGGAAGACAGCAGTTCTGCACAGCATTAATCAGTATGAGTGATAATTCAGATGCCCATTATAATGCTTCATACCTTTGCAATGATAATAAATTGTAGATCAAAGCATAGATAAAACTTAGAAAAGCTATTTATATGCTTCTTATTAGTGAACATGGCAGGAACACTGCTTTTGCAGCGTTTTTTCCCTTGTGCTTAAAAAATTGAGCACAGCAGAGCTCCTTGAAAGCACAGTAATCTTGTGTGACTAGCTCAGTAAATATACAGTCTTTCATTTGGTGTGTCAGTGAATATAGCCTAATCTGCATATGCCCATCATTTGCAGTAGTAGTTGCCTTTGCAGTCTGCCTTCTCAATTCCCTCTCTGGTCAATCCCAGCTCACATTTGCATCTAGATTTAGCTTCATGCAGTTCCTGCAGAGTCCTTGACTGTTTAGTATTGCTTCTATAARTAGAAGGAGAAAATAAAAATAATGTTAAGATCCTCCTTAGCCCTAAGCAAGACATTCAGCTTAAAATCACCATTACAGAAAATTGTTGGCAAAGGACAGGAAAAAACCCAATAGATGAGACATCATTTTACTTAAAAGCAATTTTTCCCTCCTTCCCCTTTTTGTCTCAGATTTTGAACTATACGAAAAAGTCCTACAAATTTTGTTTCTTCATGTGAATGCTCCATGTGCTCCGACACAAAAAAGACCCCTCACAGTTACTAGAAACACAGTTACTAGCTGTGCAAACAGCTCAGATACAGACAGAAAGGATTAGCAACAACATCGGATAATCAAGAAGTCAAATCAAGAAGACTTGGAAAAGTGGAAAGGGAAGAAAAGGGAAAATATAACATCACTGCAGGATTTCAAAGCTTCTTCAGGCCTATTAAATTCCACCATCTTCCTGACCTCCAGAAGGAAGGAACTAGCTTTCTCAGAGAAACAGAATCTTTTAATTCCCGGTATTTTTTCCTTTGGAACAGTTAAGTTCAGTAGCTCTTGAAATTTCCCTCTTTTCTACACTGAGAGAGGAAAATAAAGGTTTAGTGACCATAAGACGCAAAAGGGTTAATAAGCATTCTAGCAGTCAGAACGCAGGGTTCGTATTTACACAGAAAGGAGAAAAGTGTATGTGGTAGAATAGGACTGTTTCAGAGCAGAAATTGCAAACACTGACATAAGCCAAATTTTACATAGTGTAAAGTGTGTGGAAGTCATTCTCATTCTCCAGTGCCCTTCTGTAGGAGCTCTAAATAGCAGCTCAGAAAGCTGACAGACACGTCAGTTCATACTTACAAAACAAGACTATTTTCCTGGTGGTATTACCACAGCTCATGGTAGGCATTAATTTGTACTAGAAGGGTACTAAATATTAAATTGCAAATCATCACCTCAGAGCCAAAAAGTCTGTCCAGCAAAGCACCAAGTACTTGGGGTTAGAATTTAGGATTGCATTGAAAGTAAATTATAAACACTTGGGAGCAAGCACCTTTGTGTTCCTATGTTGTGTTTATAACACTAAGAGTAATTGAGTACTGCTCCCTAGTTATGCTCCACCAGCATGGACACCATGGCACCCACATGGAACTTTACAACACATGTGCAATCTGAAACTATTCAGATATCTGAACCTATCTACTCACTTCTGATAAAAACAGTATTATTATACAGTACTGATGAAAGTAATCCACAAAACAAAAACAAGGAAAAACTCCTCCTTTTTGTGAGAAGGCAACCAATAAGCTGCATTTAGTTGGGGTTGGGTTCCATTCTCAATTACTGGTGAAAAGGTGGGGTCACTGATCTCAAGTGGTTCAAGCATGATGATGTTACATATAACTACAATACATCCTTTTATTCTCAGCCGAAATTTTATCCCTCTGCATGCAGAAATGCAACTATTTTGTCTGTTCAAAATAGCAGAACAAAATCTTGTACCCACCAGAAAAAAAATCTTACCTGTTCCCCTGCAATACCGTCTTCAAAATCAGCAAGTTAAATACACTGCATTCTTAAGACACAGTTAGAAAAGAAACTGAAAAAGTGACTGACCTCTTGCCGTTTGAAATTTTGAACATATTCTTCAAACTGTTCATCTTTAGTTTCATCTGCTTTTCCTAGTTTTTGAAGTACCTATAGTGAAAGGAAAAAAGAATATTTTAATATTTATGACACCAACCAAAAATATTGCTACTTTCAACACTTCTGTTCTTTCAGTTAGGCATAAATAGCATTTAACTTTTGGGTGCATTTTGCACACTACAGTTTCCAAAGTTCACACAAGAAACTATTGTCAAAATAAAAAAAAAGGGTAAAAACAGGAGTATGATGTCTGTCACTCTGTGTGTGTGTGTGTGTGTGTGTGTGTGTGTAAACATACTTTCAATTATGGAGTCCTTGGGAGAATGTTGCTCTTTTTTTTTTTAATGAACCAACTTTTCTTTCAGAAAACAATCCCATAGTTTCAAAGAAAGGAAGCATGAGAGAATTTTGCTGGTTACAAGTTGTCCTCCAGTTCAAAGAAAAAAAAAAAACTGATTAGGTTTCTCTTCTCATTAAATCAAACAGTATTAGCATTATTCTTATCTGCATGATTTTCAACATAAGTTATAGAAAATAGGGAACTGTGGGGCTGATGCTTATTTAAAACTTGGTATTCATTTTACTCCCCTCATTAATTCATAAGTGGATCGTCATCCCCTAGATAATAAGTATGCTACAACAAGACAGCAGTAAGGGCTATTCAATCAGCAGTCTCAAAAGTTATTTGACACAGCTACACTTTACGCTGTATTTAACCACAATAAATCCATTCTATTATTAAATCCCATTGCTATCCATTCATTATAGTACTGAAGACTTAAACATAGCTGCAGATAGGCTTCACCCTGCTTGTAAAGCAATCCCCAATATCTATAGAGTACTTGCATGTGGGAATGAACCATCTCACAGATTGATGTTCAGTTTGCTCTCCCAGCACAAATTGACCAAACTATCCATTTGCACAGTTAATAACAAAACCAACTAAACTAAGCCAAAACCAAAACGAAACCCAGAAGCCCCACAAAACTGAAACACTAATAATTAACAGATACTATGAATTAACATATAAACATTACCACCTATTCTCAAAAAAAAGAATGTACAGCTCCAGTAGTACCATGTTCTTTCTCTGACCACTTTCCTCTCCCAAGCCCAGCCAGCCTGAAAGCACAAAATCAGGCTGCACAAAGGGGTGGTGAGCATTGCTGCACTGGAAACTGGAGGTCATGATCATGCAGGTGAGGCAATGCTACCTGTGGACGTGGCATGTGAAACATCAGGGAAGTTTTGACATAATTACAGCAGAAAGACGGGAAGAATGATACCAAAGAGTAAAAAATTRCATAGACTATCCTTTTGTTGCCAATTGCACAGTACATTTTCTGGCATATGTGGGCATTTTGGGTTGCTTTTAAGACAGCTAACTAGTCCCCAAAACCTCATACAATCTCATAATCAACCTCKTCATAAAATATTAATAAGTAACACAGAGGATTTTACAGAGGAATAATTTCATTTAATGTTTTGAATCATCACAGGCCTTCACACTGTTCCTTGTCACCAGTGAGCCAAACAATCTGCCCCCAACTGTGGCACAGCTTAGATCTGCACCAGGGGGGCTTTCTGCAAATCCAGTATTTCCTTTTCAAAAAGGTGGCTGCCAGGTAAGCTTCCTCACCATGGCAATACATGCAAACTACATTTGAAGCAAGAAGCATGTTAACTGTAATAGTGTGATAAGTTGGTTCATGAAATCGCCACATGCTTTATTAAAACAGTTTGTAACACCTTCATGTATCTGAGGGGGGAGGGGAAGGGAACTGTGAATGTGCAGACAAGACTCCTGCCTCCCCGTAACCCCGCCTACCAATGGTCTTCATGGCAATCGCAAAAGACCCCCCCCCCTTCCCCCCCCAATAACAGCACAACGCAGACACGACGCAGACCAATCAGGATCTCTGGAAACTTCTAGAAACACCACGTCAGAGAGGGTATAAAAAGGGGGGCTCAGGCTACGTGCCGCGCGGTGTCTAGGTGTTGGTGGGGGCGACCCACCTAGCTGGTGTCCTAGGTGCGGCAGGCCACCCACCTAGCCCACCCAGTGCTGTTTTTGACTAGTATCTGGTTAGTATCTGTTCTGTTTGTTAATGTTTTAATTAATAAATTGTTAATTGGCTTCTAACCTCTGATTGGCTCTTGAGGATCAATTTATCACAATTTGGTGCCGTGTCTCGGATAGGGATCTTCTCGTGGAGTCCCTCAAAGGGAGGCACGCCCCGTCTTTATTTGACGGCCCGGAGAGGGCACTTCACCAGCGCCCCTACCCGACGAACCTAAATTCAGATACTAGTCAAGGGATTTTAKACCTCCATAACATTTTTGTGCACAAAACTCCGGACGACTCCCAGGACGCGTGAGTACATTGGGGTAAAGGGTTCCCTGAGAGGTAGGCTCACCCCCCCGTTTGTACGAGACCTCTCTAAAATTCCCCGTCTGGAGGGAGGTGGGTTTCAGAGGTGTGTAAAGGGAGTTGAAGTTGTATTGACTGGCCCCTGGACAGGCGACGGGGAACCGCTCACGGAGAGGCGGCTCGGGGGAACCCTAAGCCCTCCACACAGCCTCTGGACCCGTGGAAAGGGAGCCCCACGCAAAACTCCCAGACACCGGGTAGGGTTAGAGCCCCTACAAGTCTAAATTTTGAGACGCCGGGTAGGGCCGGTGCCYCTACAAGTGTGCGTGTGAGAGACGCCCGCGGAGAGGCTGTGAGACRGTCAGACTCACATGCCCGCGGAGAGGTGGCTCGTGTGCGTGTGAGAGACGTCCGCGGGGTGGGGCTGYGAGCGCCGAGGCTCRCTAGCTCGTTCGYGGAGACGGCTTGCCTGTCTGTGTGTGTGTGGGACGTCCGCGGTGGTGCAATCCCTATTCCCCTGTGTGGGATTAGACCACGACCGGGAAGGATAGTGCTTGTGAGTGTGATACTCATTTCCCCCGCTGAAGACACTCTGGAAGATGGGACAGAGGGAAAGCAAGCCCTCTACATCCATGGGAAGGAAGCCCCAAATGAAGCTCCCAGACATCCCTCCCGACAGTCCGTTGGGACAGCAGCTCATACATTGGGCTGATGACCCTCAGACCAAAGGGAAAAGTAACATTAAAATGATAAATTACTGTATGCTGGTTTGGGGGGGGAAGAAAATCAAGTCGGATTTTTTGTATTGGCCCATATTTGGGTCAGATGAAGAATCTGTGTGCCAAGCTTTAAATGTTTGGGTAAACAGTAAAAACCCCTTCATACAAGAGGAGAGTGATTATGCTGCTCTCTGGCTCCCTAACACAGAAGGAGCAGGGGTGTTTGTGCTAAAAAAAAA